TTGTGCTAGCTCATTTCATTGAAGTAGGTGAGCTAGACTAGTATTTAAACTGCTTGACTATTGCTCAATAACATACAATTTCAATTACTTGCTCTTAATTTCTCTTGTTAAGTTATATAGGGATTTGACTTAGAATAGACTGCTTATGCTGAGTTGTAAGTGTTTGCTCAGAATTTTTCTCACTGTCATTTGTGGTATGTATAGTCTAGCACACAATGCTGTCTTTTCCATTTTAACATAGCACTGCCTAAGGGCTTTTCACTGCAAATAAGAGTGACTTATAGCTGCATTTCAAAAGATGATGGAAATATCGTTTATATAAATTAACTGAAGATGTGATCTAATCAAATCTCTCTAGGCCTATCTTAAAACCATTATTTTGACCTTGTATTTCTTGAAGTTGCACTTTTTCTCTGCAGAGCTTACTGTAATGATATTTAAATGTTTTTCCTTCCATGGATTCTATAGGATTGTTCTTACCTATTTTTCTTCTCACGTCTTCAGGAGCTAGTCTACTACTAGAAAGAGTATCTGTGGGATTTCTTGGGAGTGCCACAGGTTCTCTCTTTGAATTTTTTTCCTCACTCAATCTCTGTTTAATCTCATCTACAAATCAATGTTGAACTCTGTAGGTAGGGGTTTCCAGAGACATGAGAAGCCTGTCTTTTTGAAAGCCTTTCCTACTTCTTTTGCCACAGGGGACACTGGTCTGTGCTAGTTTCATCTAGCAGGAGAGATTTGCACTGAGACCTGTGTCTGGCTTGGTAGAAGTCATGTCTGAATTCCAGAAGTTCCTAAACTATTCTTGTTTTGCTAGTCTCTCTATGGGATACCTGTACATATACACATACAGATCTGTTGCTTATGGAGAAGCAATTTATCTTGCTAGCTTTAACTGAAACCACTCTTCACACCAGACAACCTGAAAGGTGAATGTTTAGTTTGATTCCAGAGAAAGGAAAAGTTAGGTTCTTGATTATTGAGTTAGAAACAAAGCTGTAGAAGAGGAAAAATAAGACAATATATGCTAGTTTGAAAGACTATCTGACAACCCTGTTTTTTTTTGTATTGTCTCACAAGTTTTTTAGTGCATATTTCATCCAAAAAAATGGAAAAAATGGCAACAGCACGTGTTGCAGATGCCTCTTATTAGAAAGGGACTTCAAAATGGCTCTGGGGATGGGTGAGCTATCTCTTTCTGTCTTCATCCAGCTGATCTTAGAAACAATCCTATGACGTATTTTTCTTTCATTTTCTTCATAATGGCCTTCTGCTTCTCCTGATTTCAATTTTAACGTGGTTCGTTTAAGTAATCCATTTAATGCAAATATGGCAAGTGGTGCCTGTATAATCTAGGAATTAGGAGTGGTGTTGTATTCCTATTACATTTTAACTGTTGTATTCCTTCTACTGAAGTAGAAGGAATACTGGTCTTCCTGTTGCTCCCATTTTTCAGACTTTCAGAATTTTAGAAATCATGGATCAAAGAAATATTCTCCTTATATTCTGTAAAATTCACCCATTTTGTGGTTGCTTTAGCTTTTCATGAATGCAGTACATGATTTATTAGCATAGGTGGCAGAGTTTGCACCTAAGCACTTTATTCAAAGTACCTCTTTGTAACATGTGTCTGTTTCAGGGTTCTGTTGTTTTTCAGTGGTTATCTTTCTTTTTTCAAACTGAAATCTTTGTGCCTCCTTTTGACATTTTCTTGTGGCTATCTAGCCATCAGTTTAAATTCTACTTGATAAAGTGGACCTCTGAATTTTCTTCTGCCATTGTTTTCTTTTGCATTCACTTCAAATGAGTAGAGTGGTTGTACCATCTGATATGTCAGCTTCAGTCTGAGCCTTTCTCTAAATTTTCATGTTTAATCTGTGTCCAAGTCTTGCAGATTCTTTCTTTGTGACTTCTGTTAGATATGGCTTATCTTGCCCATTACCACAGTGAAAACTTTGCAAAATTAAGGTTTTGCATCGTAATTACTGAAATTCCCTTTTCTTGGTAAAAGTGATCTTATCTAGTCATTTAAAATATTCTGCAAGATCATTTTCCTGGTTTGTAAAATCAAATTGTATATATCATTCTCTCTCTTTTTTTTTTTTTCCCTAGGAAACTTGCTTGTCTTTGCCTTTAAACTTTTCGTGGCTCATGCGCACCCTAGTCTCATCCTTTGTCTCAAAATACCTATTCTTGCTGTCAGTTGGCTCATCATACGGGCCCACACTGGGCAGCTATTAAAAGGGTTTTTTCTATGAAGTACCAGCACTCCTTATAAATATCTGTTTAGAGAAGCGTTTTTCTCCTCTAAATCCCTTAGTCTTTTGCTATGATATCTACGTACAAGTTGGACAAGAGTTAATCTTTTCGTGTGCTAAGAATTTTGTCTATCCAGCTGACCAACATCAGATGCCCCCTCCCCCCCCCAAAAAAAAAAAAAAAAAAAGAAAAGAGGTACTGGAGGGTAATTGTTTCAGCTGATCTTCAGTAACTGCCTATGATTGTGCTCTTAGCCTGTGGCAAATGCAAGGTAATTTGAGTTAGCATAGTCGTCTTTCATTGAGTGCAAACTGCAACTTTTTATAGTTAAATATTTATTAACGCTTGAAACCCCTTTCTTGTACTGAAACTGTGCCCTCTTTCATTGAGGGCTAATGTAACATGAATTGCCTTGCATTTACCGTGGACTGAGAGTGTGCACATGGACAGTTACCTGGCAGTTATCTGGCATAACAGTAACTGTACAGTTCACAGCCGACTGCCCATAATTCAGAAGGCACAAGGTGAAATAGACCCGTAAGAGGGGGGAGGACTAAGAACGAGACAAAATTCAGAAACACAACTTTGTCTTGATTTTTCACTGCCACTGTGTTAGGTTTTAGGTTCTTATGTGCTTTTAATTTCTCTACTGTAGTAAATATATACTCCATTGACAATGTATTATTCTTGATATTTCCACAAATTGAAAATAGGAGGCCTTTAGGAATGTGATTCCCAATGTGGCAGAGGCATTTTCTTCCTGAAAACTCATCAGCCTTTGAACATGCTCTAGTGTTCTGCTGGTCTCTATTGTATTTTTCTTGGGGAAGAGAGACTGAAAGAGGTTTCACTTGTGAGCTTGTGTTTATGGACTTACGTAAGCATTTCATGGTGTTAACAGGGATACAATATAAATGGCATCACCTTTTTTTTTTTGTTAAATTATGACTTTGTGTAGATATATAAAGTTAGGATAGAGCTGAAGAAATACAGTGATGTGGAATTTGGAGGTGGGGTTAAGGTTCCTTTAAAAGCTTGTCAAATAAAAATAGAGAAAATGTTTTATTTTTCCCTAAATAGTAATCTCACTATCATATTTTCCAGGCTTCACGTAAAGCTAGTACATGAAGAATAAAAACAATAGTTAAAAATTATATGGCTTAGACAGTGTACTGCATTTTCTTCTTAAAAGCGTTTTGACAGAGGCTCTCTCTTCTGATAGTTAGTTTTAAGAGAAAAAAGTTAAGTAGCTGCTATATTAACTGCATGAGGTTTTTTTTAATGGTTATCGACTTTGGGATTTATCTTAATAAATGTCTTTGTTCTTCCTATTTTGTGTGAAATAAGATATATTCTCCTTTCAATATTATGGAAAAACCGTACTATAAACATTAGTGTTAATAGCTTAGTATTTTAGTCCTTCACAAATTAATGCCTGTGGTAACTGGATGATTTTAGGCCTGTTCTTATAAACAAGGCCTTACTGATGTGCAAGGAACAGTAATATGTGGCAAAAACTTCACGTTAACCAAGGTAAGCAGTATAAATGGGGTGTAGGAATCCCCTGTTAGACTAAAAATCTCCAAGAGAAAATCTCTAGAGCCTACAAATTAAAGACCTCCAATATCATTTTAAAATAAAGCCTTTTATGTAGTATGAGAGCATTTTTTCAGCTGATAATCAAATGACACTATTATGCAGGCTTACTAGATTTGCAAATTTACAAGTTTTTACAAGTCAGTTGGGTCCCTTCCTCAGGAAATCAGTTTAAGTTTTTTTTTCCTGTATTGACTCAAAGAGCCTAGTTGTCCTTAAATCCTTCTGAATATATTTGCCTTATAATTTGACGGCATTGAGTCAACACCCTTATAGGAACTGTAATGCAATAAAAAGAAACTGTTCAATATAGTTTCCAGTTACCTTAGGATCAGATTTGGAGAAATTGGAATGTACACAATAAAACCTGTGCAAGACTTCAGTTCCAAGTTAGGTTGTAAGCAACCAGTGCTTTTCAATGTAAAATATTGTTTGAAAGTTTTGCTCTACTTCCAATAGGTGTGTAATGGTAAAAATGAAAACAATGCATGTGACTCTTGAAAGAGAGCATTTTACTGTTTTTTGTGATTTTTCTGAACCATCTCTTTGTGGAATTGAAAACTCCATGTACAAATAACTACGTGTCAATGTTTTTACTGAGTTCTTTTTTTTTTTTTTTAATTTAATGAATATTTTTGCTCTACCATATTCTGCAATAAAATTCTTTATAACTCATTTGCATTTTTTACTTAGAGAAAAATATGTAGATCCAGACGTGCTTGGCAAACTCTACTTTTATTTTGTAAGAGTTTAGATTACACTCGAATATTCAATATATATCATGCTTGCAAAAGAACGCTTGGAATTTAGTTCTGTCTCAGATTTTGTGTGTAGTTAGTAGTAAAGTCATTGCAAACTGCTTGTGTGTATCCAAAAAGGCATTTATCTTTTACTTAGGATATGAATTTATTGCATTTGAGCATACAATTTAAATTGTGATTTCATTTTAGTTTTGCAAATAAAAGCTGATGTAATGGGTTATTTTTCTTTTGGCAAATGATGATAAAAAAAAATATTTGTATTTGTATATGTGTATAAAGAAAAAGGTTATATCTATTGTGTTTCCAGTGAATAATTCCTAAGATAGATATAAATGAATAGACTCCATTGTAGTAATCTTCCCTTTGTTTGTACTTATTTTTTAGTTGATTTGGAGCATATGCGCACAGTGAAGGCTGACAAACACCAACGATTTTGTCAAGAAAACAATTTCAGTAGCCATTTTGTGTCAGCCAAGACAGGCGATTCTGTAAGTAAGAAAAGGAGTCCTTGTAGATTTCTCTTTTTAGAAACCTATTATTCTGAAATATGATGTAGCGGTTTTATTGTACTCCACATATCAAACCATTGAGAACTTTGGCTTCTAAAGGTACTTTTTGCTTGCCTGCTTGCAAGATAAGTGGCTCTTGGCATGTATGTATGTTATATATGTTCTTTATTAATGACAGTAGCTTCTCATCAGATTTGAAGTTTGAGGTATACATTTTAATATGAAAATGACCTGGCTTACATATCAACTTGAGAAATGAGGCCAGCTGCATGTCTGTTTGCTGTCAAACTGTAGTTAAATGTATTCCTCTGTTCCAGGTGAGGTCCATCTATAGGCTATCAATATATAGACTTTCAACAGTAGAAAAAATGATGAGACCCTGTTGCAATCAAAAATTGTAATATGGGTCCTGAGCCAAGAAAGACACTCCCTCTGCATGTTTATTGAAATTTGAATATGCTGCTCTTTGTAGTGCTTTGCAGAGCACATTTTAGAACAATCATTTGCCCCTGAACTATCTGGGATAGTTATTGTCATTGGAAGGGCATGGAAGAAAAGGCTCTTTTTTCAGCTTGCTGTATCTGCCAATTTAAATTACATTATATTATTTTGCTTGATATCTGCCACATACTCAATGACTTTGTTACTCCTGTTTAAAAAAAGTCTCCTTAATCTTATTTATGACAATATAATTTATTTTTGTAATATTGAACAATAAGACCATGTTTAATTATATGGAAGTACAATTTTATAACAAAAAGGGAATCACTGGTATTTTTAAGAGCTTTCATGAAAGATCATTTACCTCTGCAATGGACTGCCTAAGTTTATGAGGTAATAGTTACTGTGTAAATGTCGAACAATGCTGCCATTGCAAATGTAGTGAATCTTGACTGTCCCCATAGTTTGTGTTAAAGCTCCTGGCATGAATTTTTGTTTAAAAGTTTGAAAATTCTGGCTTTTTATGCTATAAACAGAAGAAAAATGTATCTCATGTAGTGAAGTATGCATATGAAAAAAAATGCATTCCTTTTTCGTGGAGATAGTCTTTTTTGGGGAATTAATAATAGGCAAAATAGCTCTTTTAAGAGATTTATGTAGTTAATATTACAAATGATTAATGAGTCTTTATTATGTCTTTGTAATTGATTCATGAATTACGGCAGCAGTCATTTTATATATTTGTGTGTGTATATAGTTTCTGTTTTAGTATCTGCTGACAAAAGAAGATAAGAGATATTGTTTACAATAGTTCATTTTTAGTTTCAATATAAACTTGAATTAACTCTTTCACTGCCACAGCATGCTGGCATTTCAAAATCTTCCGGAGCTCATTTATTTGGGTAGTTGTTCAGGGAAGACAGGGTATTTACTCTAGACAGTGATTTAAAAGGGAGCAATCCATTGCTACTGTGGATATAGACTAGAGGAGTCTTAAATACTCAGTTAAGGTAGATGAGATTGTTTTGTTTTGTTTAAATCCTGTCTTTCCAACAGATTCGTTTCCAAATGCTAATTTTATGCAGCATAGAAAAGCCCAAATGTCTCCTTAGAGGGGAGTTAAGTTTCATGAAAGACTTACTGTAGCTTAGTGACCTTATTGTCCGCCCCACTGCATAACTACAGCACTGAGCTCACGCCTGAAATTTTGTGTACAAAACATCCTCATGGCAGATAATCTAGCTCAGTACATCTGAGAGCCTGGTGTGGGTTAAGTAGGTATCTGGACAGAGTATGCCTGCTTGAGACTGCCTTTCTTGCCCTGTGGATGCTGGTAGAATAGACCGAGCCTAGACCAGGTGGTTAAAGAGAAATGATTTAGGAAGCTACTGCAGCTTTTTGATTGTGCCATCAGTTACCTGCTGATTTCCATTTTAGGTGTACAAAGAGACAGTGTGAATGGCACTTTTTTTTTAACTTTTCATTGAAAATGACTAAAAGCACTTACATAACTCTTTCCTGGGGGATGGTAACTACCACGATGCAAAGCAACGTGTGCTAAGGGTTTAGGTTGTGAGCTCAGTTGCACAACAGTGTAGACAGAAGACGAAGCTTTACAATACCGTGTTCAGCAGCAGTACCAGCTTAAGCAGCTTCTCCTTAAGATCTGTTGCGTTCTCTAATCTGGTTTAAAGTGCAGCTGCCTAAACAGTTGGGTTGGTGGACCGGATTGAGATGAACTGAAGGAATAATTTAGGATAGCATTGCCACCCAATGCTATCTGCCCAGCTGGGGCTAGGCTGCTGCATGCCATACAACATCTTGTTGTTTCCCAGCTATTACTGTTCAGTCCAACACTTACAATGTTTTGTACGAATCTTTAGAAAAAATATATCATTGCTTGGATTTGGTATTGTTAATCTCTTTTTAAGAGTTGGCAGTAGAGGTTTTGGTGATGTTGATGCACAATTCTGTTGTTCTGAATTTCAGAAACCTACATCTCTATTGCACAATACACCGGTAAAGATGTTTTTGTGCTAAACATTAGTGAATACCCTTATTCATATTTTATGGCACTGAGAGTAGTATTTGAGAGGTGGGTTGTGTAAAAGCTTGTTTAAACTTAGGTCTCTGGAGGCAAGGTAGAAGTGTTGCCTAACAATCCAGCATACTGTTCATTCCTTGTACCATTGTTGAGTTATTTTCTCAATTTTTAAACCAAATTGAATGTACCAGATGAGGTTATTTTCAGATCTGTTTTGCACTGGTCATAATTTGTATATCTCATTGTTTACAGTTCAAGAATGATTTGATATATTTGAAAGAACCTTGAGGATGTCTATTTTTAATCATTTAAATTCAATTTAATTTTTTTCCATAGGTCTTCCTGTGTTTTCAGAGAATTGCTGCTGACATCCTTGGCATCAAATTAAACAAAGCAGAAATGGAACAATCACAGGTGATTTTCCACAAATACTTGCTTTTCTTAAATATTTTACTTAGTATATATTAAAAAAAAAACCTCATTGCAAATTAGTAACTTTCCTTTAAAGCAAGCTGCATCTGTTATTCTGGAGACAGTTATTAACTTTCACGACAGCGTTTTTTTGTATTATCTTTATTTATCCAGCATAGTAAACTTGCTGAAACAAGCGTATGTATGTTTGACAAATTAGAAAGAAGGGTAGTTTATGAGTGCTATTTGTTTAAAAATAATTTTTAAGTTTTTTTTTTTTTTTAATACTAAAACCTCTCTGGATACCTGCATATGCAGGTAGCATGGAAGAGACTCTTAAATATTCATCACCATACACCGATATTGGATAATTGGATATTTATGATAATTTTGTTCTATTAAAATTCTTTACATATTTAAAAACAAATTTTATTTAGAACATTGCAAAGTGAAGTAGTAGAGGGCATGAGCCTCTGTGGGTGGAAGTGTTGTAAGTTGATATTCATTGTAGGCATTTAGGGGAAAAACTATTGTCAATCACACAGTCAGGAATTAACTGTGAAATTCTATGATAGGGTGATTTCAGATGTTAGCTTTTATTATAAGTCTATATAAGGTAAGAAGAGAACACAGGTCTTTCCTCAGTAGTGACTGTCTGCCTTAGGGAGGGAATAGTGACTTTTTAAGATTGCTGTTTCCTATTTTATTGTGAGGTACAAATGAGAAGTGAATCCTATTTTGGTTTAGTATACACATTCTCAACAGCAGCAGACCTGAAGAATCATACATTTGGCTGGCTATATTATAACACTCTGGCTTCTGTAGTTATTTTTTGCACTGCTCCAGTTCCAAATAATTTTCCCCTAAAGCGGTTTCAGAGTTTCTGCCCCTGCATTTTTTGTATTGTTCTTTGCATTATGAGTGTTATCTTGGAGATTTTCTGACATTTCCTCTGCTGTAAATAAGGGCTGAGAGAGGAGAATATTTCCCAGCAGTAGGTGGGAAGGTCATCTAGGAAGTCCTTCTCCATTGTCTTGTATTGGTTTGTAGTGAGTTAGAGATGTGAATAACCAATTTTGCTGTGAACCCATGGAAAAACTGCAAAACCCTGTTGTGTGTCCTGCTTTGAACTGTGAGAGTTTTCTGTTTTTTCAAAGAACATTTCATCCTTTTCAGTAATTGTCACATGCAAAATAGCTCTAATGAGAGCAATGTTTTATACCTTATTGAATTAGTGGGGATAAGATATTTCCAATTTTTTTTTTTTTAATTTAAACTGTAACTGTATTAAATTAATTAACATGTGAGTTCTTGCTTACCTGTATCTGCCAGAGTTGGAAAGCACTTAGTTTATATTAATGAATGTTAGGAGAACAAAAATGTGTTAATTGTTCAAATAAGCAACCAAGCAAGAGGTTTTCTAAAACCCCTTTTCCCATACCAACTCCTTCCCTGTTCCTGCTTTTTCAAATAGTGTTCCTGCCAGGAAGACTGTTTGCTTAGGTTTGAACTGAAAGGATTTTACAAACCTAGTTTCAAAAACCTCAGAAAACAAAGATTACACTACTGAGGCAACCCTTACTGTCGCGTGACATTTGAGACTACAATGCAGTTATTTTATATTACCTTGTTAAACCAAAAGGTGGCTACGCTAGTGGCTCAGTATCCTGGAATTGCTAGTTGCTATTAATATTAAACAAGACCCCAAAATAAATCAGCAAGTTTATTACAAAAAGCAAAATACTTCTTACGTACAGCTTAGTCTCCTGCTTTTTGAAACACACAATAAATATATAATTTCTGAAAGTGTTTTACCACGACGTTGTTTACAGTCTGTGTTGAAGTGGGCAAATAGAAAACGGTATTGCAAACAGTAAAATGGTGAAATATGCTTAGAGTGCATACCTAACAAGCAAAGCAAAAGAGCTTTGAAGAACTTTAAATTGTAGGTAGAGAAATACTGAGTGTGTACTTGCAGTGCTCTTTTACTACTAAGGCACCATCAATCTGTTGTTCTGAGCTGCATCAGGATTTGTATACAAATAATTCATCACAAAAGAGTTCTTTAATTTTTCTTTGGTTGTTTATCTTGCATTAGAACATCAGCCTTATATTAGATCAGTCTGTGTTGTGTGAGAGGAAGAAGAAATCTTTCCTCTTCTGATAATTCAGGTTAAGGTTTTGGATAGGTATGCAAATATATGAAGTTAAAAAGAGGACATGAGAAATGGGACAGCAGTTATATGGAACATTTGTAGCTTTCTAAAGAAGGTATTTATTTTTGGGTTCTTCTTTAAATAAGAACCTGTATATAACCCTGAATCAAGAACACATAACTTTGTCAAATCTATATCAGCTTTAAATAGATTTATTTCTCCCTCAGTATTATAACTTCAACTCATAATTATGTTGACCAGCTCACTGGAACATGCAACACGTGGATTGGACAAAGTTGATATTATGCAAATTGAAGTAGCAATAGCCTATGGCTAGGTCATATGCGTAAATTAACTACTGTGGCCCATGCAGGCTGCTGTTAATGTGAATTCAAGCTGCAGTGGCTTTGAAACAAGACAGAACAGAACAGAACCCTAGGCCTGTAAATGGAGTTGGATAGAACAGAAACTTCATTGTCTGGCCATTCAGGTACAGCAAGAGTCTCTATATAGTGAGATAGTGGGCACGTGGCTGAAGAGTGAGAGCTGTAAAGCAACCACCAGTTTTTGCAAGGTTCTGCTGATCAAGCATAGTTTCCATCTATTCTGAACAAGCAACAATTCTATGCTAACGGTATAACGTTTGCTCCCTTTAAGAGCGCTATCTTGAACGGGCAATAGGAATTACCCAGAATTAAACCAGTGAGAAACCAATGGGAATTATTTTGAAGCTTCTGTCAGTTAGAAATATTTTAATGTCCATTGTTGTATGGAACTGAATTCCCTAGTCATTGCTTAGGATAGTAAAGGGAAAGTCTCTGCATAAAATAGGAAAAGGAAAGCTTTGATCTTCATATCCTCAGAGAGATGAATAGAAGGACATTTACTGAGAGGAATCTGTATCAGTCTGCAGTGGAAAAGCCTAATTGGAGCTATATATTGATGCTGTATTCCAAAAGTGTGGAACTGGTCTCTTGGCTGGGAGAAGGTGGTGTTAGATGATATTACCATTAGGGAACTGAAATGGTATGCTAGAACACAGAGATGTAGAGCTGGTGTCTGGTTTACCCCAGACTTTTTGTATGTCTGGGACAGATCACTTAGTGTGCTTTCTTTTTTCCTTTTTTTTTTTCTTTTTCCATCTGCAGAGTGAATATTAGGCTTCCTTACATTGTAGAACAGTTATGTGAATGTGTTTATTAAAATTTCTAGGCATTTAATACTCTAGCTACTGGAGTATAAAAGTATCTAGATAGATGTTATAAAGAAACAGAAAAAGGAGAGAAAAAAACAAAAGAAATAAGCGTGATTCATCCTTAAATCAATAAATATACAAGTGTTGACTTGGACTGCATGTTTCAACAAAGAGTAAAATGTGTTTTAGTTTTACAAGAGTGCATTATTTACATCCTGGATAATCCTTTGAATTTTGAATATTTGGTGTAATATGAGGATAAAGTTAAATTTCTTGATTTTGAAAAATGATAAACTTGCTACTTGAAAGCATTTGTTAGAGAACATCAAATACCTTCAAATGTAACACATTTAGTGTAGGTGGTAACTAAGGATAAGGTGAAATACTGAATTTGTGTAAATCAGCGACAGGGAAATGCTGTGAGTTGTGTTTTATTATGTCTTTCTTCATTTTTACTGATTGTCTAATACTGTGAATACTCTTTAAAAATATTTCTTAACACCTGTGATTTTATGCCTGAAGATCATATTTCTCATATTAAAAAAAAAAAAAATCTAATTGTCATGGTCACTAGGAAGATCCTGGAAATAATTCACGTGTAGTTAGAAGTAATAGGAACCCAAGCATTATTTTAACTTGCATGAATTTGTGGGGCTTGACTCTGGAAACGTTGGTGACTGGCAGAACTGTGGAAAACCTTGTGACAAGGTGGATGTGGTTCTTGGTCCCCTTCTAAGCAGCAGCTTAATTAAGTCAATTGTTAATTAAGTACAAGAACAAGTCTTGCCATTTAGTCTTTAGAACTCATTGTTTTGCAGCAGTTTAAGATGTTAAAGAAAGCCACGCTATTTGTTACTGCCCTCTTGCTGGAATGCGTTGCTCCCCCAGCAGAATCAGAAAATGGAAGGTGATCCTGTGCCTTGGCCACATCAGGGTGAAGCTCAGCAGCTTAGCTTAAACTGCTGATGAAAGTTGTTTTTAAGTGAAGTTGCCAGACTTTGCGCTGAAGCGGATGAGGTGCAAGTACATGTTCCGTTCCGTTCCAGCAGTGCTCTCCAGCAGAGGGCTAGAACAGACATTCGGAGGTGGTCAGTTTTTAAGCTTTCTCTGCTAGAGCTGCTAAATCTTGTCTGTTAACATGCTGAGATGACTGTTAATCAAACCTTTATTTAGTCAAAACTGTGGTGAAACAAAGGAATAGATTACTGTTTATGTGTGTCTGGAAAGTAGAGAATGTTTTTGAAGTGGAACAGTTCCAAAATAAGTCAGAATCTGCAATTTTCTTATTTTCAGTCCTCAAATTGCTTTCTCCCTTAAATCACAAGGGTCTGTTGAAATTTAAGGAAATAGATCCTTTACTAATCAAATGTTTTTCTTTCTATATTTTTTACTTTCAACTATAGTATAAAAACTGCATGGGGTGCAGCTTTGTTCCTTGGCATTGGCAAGAGTTAGCATTTCTGTAAGGGATATATAGTTTCCTCTTTAATTAAATGCCAGCTTTGTACAACAAAATGTTTGGCAAATATGTTAGATTTGGAATTCAGAGCACCTGCACCAAGTTAAGTGGACTTCTGATTACTGGCAGCGGTTCGAACCTTGGCGGTGATATGCCTGACCTCCAAACTGATACAAAGATGCCCAAGTTTTTATTCAGAATGAAGTTAATATAAGAAATATGGCAGTAGTGATTTTTTTTCCTCTTATTTAGCTGAAATTCCTTTAGAAAATCCGAGTCATTTATGTTAGTCAGTTTCCTGCTACAAAGTGGCTAAACCTGGGTCACTAACCTAACCCCGTGTTTACATGATGGGATTTAGAGCAGTGTTTTGAGGAAAAATTAATTGCCCACTGATTGCAAGAATTTTTTTTTTTCCTCAGCTCTAGTCAAAAGATTGGTATGAAGAAACTAGGTCCTGTGAGGTCAGATAACACTGTTTAATGCCAAACCTCCATCTACTGCCTTACATGGGATTTGGCAACCTTTCACTTGATAACATCAGGCCAGGAGTCTAGTAAATCATGAGTGTTGTCCACCAGATAAGATAATATGAACATGATCAATTAAACTCAAGAAGAGTACATCAGCAGCTAATAAATCCAGGTCCTTTACCAGCCAATTTGATCATTATTGCTTGTTTGGCATAGAGGTTTTATTTACAGAAGTAATTGTAACAAGTAACATATACTGTTTATATAGTCATATAATCAACTATACTAATGTTTTCTTCAAAATAATAACATAATTTAATTTCTCCATTCCTTTTTATCTTGAAAATGTGTTGTGAAAAGGTGAAGTATTTAAGAAAAATTATTCGATTAACAGCATATTTCATAGCAGAGCTCCTTTGTTACTTTGTTCAAATTGTTATATGGATTTTTCTCCCCTGTACAGAAATACTGTATTAATGTTCATATTTTTAATGGTATTGTATGTCTTTAAGAAGAAAAAGGAGAATTTTTTTTTTTTACATGAAGCAAAGTTTTGGCGAAGAAAATGAAAGCTTGCAATAAAACTGTTAAATATAGCATGTAGATGTGAGCTTGTTCATTTATTTAACTGTTTCTGGAAAAATGCGTAGTTATAATGAAATAATTATGTAATGGGAAAGATGCATGCATCATTTTAATGCAGTTGTAATAGTTGATGGGAAGCTGATTAATACGATATTTATTTACCTTAGATACGATATTTATTTACCTTAGATTTAAAGGAAGAGTCCATTGTCATCTTTTCTTTCACTGAATTGTCTTCCTTTTTATCCTGTACCTTCTCCTGTCTGAACTTTATCATATTTTTATTGGTTGCACATATCAATGTTTCACTTTGGTGCTTTGAAAAGGCATGCCGTTGAAGGAGTTGGAGAAGCAACTCTGATGCTAATAGTGAAGCTTCCAACTAGGCATGTTTTTCTTGTTCAGCATAGGGCCTGAAAAGAAATGTACTTTGGTTTTGCTTCTGCATTGTCATTTTATGTCATTCATTCCTTCTTTTCAGCAACTGATCAGACTTCCCATTTTTTCCTTCTCTTTTGTTTTTACATTCTTCTCCTTACTCTCTATCCATTATGTTGATACATGATTAACAGCATGTTGTCAGGGCAGAACTAGTGAGATATCCTGAAGAAGATAACCAGCGTCACAACACTTCCAACTGCCAGAGCAAAATCTGCTCAATGCAGTAATTCAGGTATTGATGTAAAAGTTTTTTTGTTTTTCTGTTTTTTTTTTTTTTTTTTCCAAGCTGTGTTGCTTTTACATGAAGTAGTAACTGTGACAGTAAGTTCTACTGGAAAATGTATGCTTACTATCTGTAAGCAGTAATAATAGCGTATTAGTTTGGAACTTAATGCACCATTACATGGTATTTCTAATAGCCAGTTAGTTCACAGAAACTTTGTAATACTACGCATCAGTACATTAGGAAGGACTTTCAGTGCTGAATATTCAAAATGTTATGTAGCTGCCTCAAGTGGAAATGGACACAAAATTAAAGTGTTGTGTCTCTCTTCTCATATAAGAGAGATCAAGAGTCCTGTCAAATACTTTGCTAATAGAACGTGTACCACTTGTTGGAGCTGTAATAGAAAATAAATGTTTATAGTATGCAGAGGTTCTTTTTATATTGGTCTTTCGTCTTTCTGCCTATCAAAGCTTTTTTGAAATTTGCTTTGAATTCTGTCCTTCTTTTCCTGTGAAGAGGTTGGGACAAAGAGGGATAAACAAACTTACAATTTCCAGCTACAATGTAGGCAATTACTCATAAAGAATACATGCAGTAGTCCTTATAAAACAAATACCGTTTTATTAATTCCATTTTATTATTTCCACACAAAACAGTTTTCACAAAAGAGAAAATGCATTCGTTGCTTTTGTAAAGGAGTCCCATTACTGTATTAGCCCTGTAAAATTGTTGTGAAGCTTACTAAGTCACTTCTTGCTGCTTAGTGTGAGTAAACTGGTATGTAGAGTAAGAATTAACACCTGATAAGACTTTTTGTAAGGTGGTGAAGAAAACTGAATTGTGTTCCTCCTGATTTTTTTTTTCTTTTCTTTCATGTATCATAGTAAAATACTTGTTGAACGCTTTGCCAGCATCAAGATTGTTTTGTGTCTGATTATTGCTGTGTTTTCTTTTATAACAGAGAGTGGTGAAGGCAGATATTGTCAACTACAGTCAGGAACCTGTGACAAGAACCGTCAATCCTCCTAGAAGCTCAATGTGTGCAGTTCAATGACCATATTATTTTTCTCTGTATTCATACCTTTGGCAGTCCTCCTACCTTGACACAGACTCCGGGATTGCCAGGAACTTTGTTTTAACAGTGGCCATCACTGCAATGCAAGTAGGGGTTCCAAAAACATGTTGCACCATTGTATGTTGAAAAGCAGCAGGCAGTCTTTTGACTGGCCAGGTTTCAAACGTTAGACCACACACCTTGGAAAATTAAGATCTTTATTCTTTTAAATTATATTTCAATAGAGCAGTATAACTGTGTTTATACATTTTCTCCTCTCTATTGGACTGATACTGGAATTAAGTTGGATGAGACGTCCTGCATTTTAAATAATTTTAAAGACATCACTGTTGAAAGGTATTTTGCCAAAACATGTTGTCCTTTTTTCCCCTCACCTCCTGTGATCTAAACTGACACTACGCAAAATGTAACTTGGAAAAGCTATTGTTGGAATAATGTTGAGCAAGTAATATATTTTATCTAGTGATAATTTGGAAAGTATTTCATTATTATATATATTTATATATAGTGCAAAATGTATAAATTGTATCCAGTAAGAAACAGTGCTTGAAATAAAGCTGTAATATGAAAACAGTTATTTTTCTGAAGTCTCCAGTTGTCTCCATGGATGCTGTGAAGAATGCTAGTGTTTTTGTGCGTTTTTATTACCGCATCAGCATTACTTCCTGCAGTAGATATGCTCATATGTCTTCATGAATATACATGAACCTCAGTTGGCAATTTGGACTGTTAATGTTGAGTGATATATTCAGTGTGCATTAGGAACTGTTGATATATCAATTAGGATCAGTCATTTTTAATAACTAACTGAATGACTTTTGGGCTGGTATTCTTTTCTTTCCAGTTCAGAGTGCCAGACACAAATAAAAAGTAGCTAACTACTCAGTCCTGTCTGCTCTGTGATCAACACATTTCTTCTCTGCTCTTTTTCTGGAAGTCTTTTAGATATGCAGTTCTTTCCTGGCACATCTGAATAGGGAACTGAGGAAAGAAAAGAGGTATTAGCTAACTTGATTTCAGTAGAAAAACTTAGAAAGCTTTTCCTGTTGTAAGTCTAGAATGTGTTTTCTAAAAAGCGCAACAAAACATTTGGAGATTAAGGAAGTTAATAAGGCTGAGCAAAGGAAGTTTGTGTATCACAAGTGAGAAATGACAAGGTCCTTCAAGTGACTATTCCTATTAAACTGTCCAAGCACGTGCTTAATGGTTACAGCAAATGTATTTGAAAAAAGATTGCATATGGCAAGAATGTGCTGTTTGATGCTATTTTGGTATATTCCAAGTTCATTGAAAGGTGAAGTTCATTTTTAAATCGTTCAATATGCAGTTTGACTGATAGTTTTGTAAGATTAAATGTTGTGAAATGTTAGCATTCAAATGTGGGAAATTCTCAAAAACAAGTTGAGATACTGAGAAATTATTATAGACTGAGCTAGGTGTGAATTTTCAGTCATTTATTCTAGTGTTGCTGTTTGTGTTCTTGCTCCTTTCCCATGGTAAACATTGTATAGCTTTACCTTGCAGTTAAATGCAACAGAAAGGTGTATCATTCACTTACCACCAGATGAGAAAACCGGCTTTTGCAGATATCCTGAAGTAGCCCATGAGTTTGCAAATTTGTGCTCTCCACAGAATGAATGTGGTAAACTTTTAATCTGTGCCCTCAGATTTTTTTTCTTTCTGTTCGGAGCTCCTCTATCCGCATATTCAAATATTCATGACAGCTGTCCCCTCTGTGAGGATCTGAGCACAACCTCTTTAGACAGTTGAACAGCCATCTTTCTTCGGTGCACATGAGTCAACTCCATAGTACTGCTACCAAGTGATATATGTAGCGTTTGAAAACGTGAGCATTTTTGACACTTCAAAAAGTTTTTTCCATGCTCTGCAGTAAGCTAGAATCAAGACTGTTGGGGCAAAGATGATAGAAATAAGATGCCTGTCAGTCTGTATTGAAGGCATATCAGGGATCTTCAGGTACTTAATTGGCAATGATCCTTTCTTTCCATCTTTATGCTCCATTCTTTTCACTGCTGTTGTTGATGTTGGGGAAGTTCTATCTGCAGGACCAAGACAACCAAATGTTACGAAAGTTTTTGTTCCCTGTGTGCTTCTGGCATGCAGGCTCAGATGGTGGGAGAGTCATAGTTTTAAATTCATGCCTTCTGTAAAAAGCTATCTGTGTAAATGTGATAGCACTTCCCTAAGACAACAAATGACATTAACAGTAACTTGGCTAGCCTGTAACAAGGAACCTTTAAAGAATACAGGTCTACTGAAGTTTTTTTCTTGCAATGTAAACGGGGGTATCCACCTTAGAGGTGTAGAATGTCAGCATGACCAGCCCTCGACAGGTTAAGATGAGCAAAAATTGACATTTTTTTTTCCTGTAAAAACTTCTGTAATCTTACTTTTCAGAAGAGAATGCTTTTTTCTAGCTTTTGAAGTAATGCCCCTTATTAATTACATAATCAAAAAAATTTTACTCTTACACTTGGGAAAAACCTGCACTATGAAAGCTGAGATACATGTTGTAGTCCAATCTATTTTACAGCTGGATTTTACATTTCTAACCTTTTGTGATCTTTTATTCTCAATGTCTACTTTTCTAGCCGTCTTTGACTCTTGCTTCCTTTTTGTACTTTCCTCTCATTGATCTTCTCACTGTTTTTTGTTTCAGCTCTATCTTCTCTGAACGTATTTGTGTTTACATTTCCAAGCCATTCTCATTCCTCCTCCCTAACATGTATGTATATTATTTACGCTAACTATGAATCTCTTGTCTTGTGTGCCCCCAGCCCCTTCTTTTGCTGCCCCTCTTAACCTCCTCACATTCTCTGTATTGTATACTGACTTCCACTCTCCCTGCCTTTCCCTAGCCTGGCTACCCCATTTAGATCCATTACCTGTCCACATTTTAATCCTTACAAATGAGCTTTGCTCTTTTCACTCAGCCCTGGGGACCCCACCCTGAGTCTTCAGATTCCAGCTGCAGTCTAAATCCTTAGCTGTGGTAGCTGCCTTTGAAGTATTGCAGCAGCTGTTGTTGGAGATTCAGGAGTGCCTTTGCCATCTGTATGGCCTAAGTTCCACAAGGCTGAGCAGAAAGGTCAAAGATAATTCTGGAGGATTAAGCAACCTGGAAAGAGGGAGTAGACTGTGCTCTACACAGAAGGCAAGGGCTATCTGGCGACTGAAGCGATAGAAACAAATTTAATCAGCGAAATGTGTAGTAGGGAGGCGGGCAAGCCACCACCATGTATCCGATATCCTTCTGCAAGCATGTTTCATTTATTACAGATCCATGAGACTCTCATACAATTGAGTTTAAGCATGTGCCGTGTTAATCTATCTAAAAGTCTTTTGCAAGGTGGGAATTGGTTGAAAGCAGTTCAGCCATCAGTAATGATGTTAAATAATGCAACAGTTGCCAAAAGTGAGGCCACAGTTCACAGAAGTATTGATGCATATGCTAATTTTCCATTGACATCAGAGGGGTGTAAGCATTTTCTTTCCTGAAGTTGAGGTCAAATAAAGGGAAGAAACTTGTTCGGGCCCTAGTCTTATACAGATCTACAGTGGTGAAGCGATCTGCCTGCTCAGAGCTGTTGTAACTAATCATTTTGATAACAGCTCTGTAGCTAAAAATTGTTTTTAAGCTCAGCTCACCGCTACAATCACTCTTACGTGATGCCATGGATACAAACACATTCTCTCTGATTATATGTTCGATTACAAATGCTTTCAAAACATGTATTTGAAGAGTTATTTTACGGATACAACTTATTTTCTTTTGTAGTTTTAAAATTTTGTTGGGGCCAAATTTAATCTTTTTCATAAACAGCAGTATTAAGATATTTTCCCTTATGACCAGCTGTTGTGAGTGCCAGAACCCATGGTGAGTTCATGATCTGCTCTCTGAATATGTTGTTCTTTGACAGTTCATAAAAGTTATGAAAACACATGAGGCTTCTTTTTAACGAGAATAACTTCATTTATATATAGTTTTAAAGGACACATACAAGGTCATTAGAAAAATATTAAGTTTTTTTTGAGGAATTTGAAAATTTTAGGTGCTACCAATCTGCAGCATTAAGCATTTAAATACCTAAAAAATCTGATCTGTAAAACACTGTTTGAATTTCTCTAGAAGTAAAGGGCTATTGGATCGATGCCTTCTTCCAAATGCAAAGCTGATTTTATTGTCATAATAAACACTGGCAGATCCACCTGATAATGAACCTGGTAGCCAATATTTTGTATAATTTATAATGAAAAAAGGCCTAGTAATATTTTTAAATTGTCTATTCTTTTGCTTTTCTGATGATAATAAATGAATTGAAATAATATTTTTCCTTTGTACATCTAGCTTATGTTAGAAAAAGGGTTTTTTTCATAAAATAAAATTTATAATCTTTGTTTCATGTTATTCATGACCTTTTCATACAAGTTGTAGTACATAATATTGTTTAGAAAGTATCCCCATTCCATGTGCTGCTAAAACTGCTTAAATTAGGCTGGGCTGAGCTTTGAAACATCTGCTTCTAGTGACTCCATAGGCCTTGTAAGATTAAAACTATAAAGAGGAACTTTAGAGGGAACCAACGTTGCAGGTGATCAGGTAAGCTACAAAATTCACAGTCACGAAATGTAGAAAATGGAAGAAGCCATTTGCATTAAGTTCTTAAATGATCTCAGACCAAAGATTTAGGTGTTGCTGGGAAGAGTGAGTGGCACTGAAGCCCTATCAATACGTGCCTTTGCTGTGGTTTAAACGCTGCTCTGAGCTGATGCAGCAGCTTTAGTTGCTTAGAAACAAAACAAAAAATCCCCCTTAAGTTTGTGTCTTCCACCCTTTCAAAAGAAATCTTGGTCTGTCTAACTAGAACTGTACTGCACTGTTGATCTTTTGTCATTGACAGAAGACTAAAATGCTGTCCATTAGAATAATTAGCCGTTCTATAACCGTCAGAAATTTCCAGAGAAAATATTCCTATTTAAATACTTACATTCATTTCTCAATAATTTAAGAGTTTGTATGGTGGCCCTGCTAGATGTCCTTACAGCAGCAATGACTTTTATGGAAGATATATTTAAAAAGCTACCTTCTTTTTCTTGCAGAATTTTAGTGTTATTTTCCAAGCAAAGAGGTTATTCTACAATGTTATAGTTGCGTTCTTCTCAGTTAAAAAATTTGTACTTAGCATAGCATCTGATTTCTTTAGGCTGTCTTTATTTAAAAACAACTCATAACCAGTTAAAATGTCAAAATGTCTGAATGCCGCTGAAAAGAAAAAGCCAAAATTTATCCCTGCTTGCTGGGGAGTAATGGCATAGCTATGAGATTAAAATACTAGTGGAGCTAATTACCCATAGGAAGCAAGTTTATACTCTGATTTCAGGTGCTATGAATAGAATGTGATTAGAATTTAATGTGCTACAGTTTTGTTTGCAAAATACACAGGTCCTATATAAAACCTCTTTTTATAACGTGCTCTGTAGAAGCCTTGGGGATCCCTATTTAACTTGCAAATGCCGAAGTTTGATCTTCCCCAAATAG